CCCCCCCCCCCCCCCCAGTGTTCCAGATTACTGGAGAGAAATCAAAGGACATCTATATGTCATTCAATCCTGGCGAATCAAAACAAGAAAACTGTAATATAAAAATAATTGGTATATTGTTTTCTTTTCTTTTTTTATTATTATTTTAAAAAGTGGCCCTAAAATAGGACATAGTGGTGGGAGAATGGCATTTTGTTCCTGGGTCTCTTAGAACCAATCCCCTTCGGCTGTGTGTCAACACAGGGCAAATTCTCATGCGGAAGGGCAGCTGACCCTGATTGGGGCTTCAACCTCCTGCACAACAAAGAAATTTGAAATGTTTTGTGGGGAGGTATTTTGGATCTTCTGAAAACTTCCCTTTCCTGCCAGAATTGCTCACTTCTAAGCATTCTGGTTCAGCCCTGTGAAAGTGAAATAAACATGTATTCAGAGTCAGATTCCAGCTACAGATGTTTAATGCAAATGTACATTTGTTTAATGCTGATTTAAACAAATAAATGACTTGTTTTGACTTGGATTATATTTTTACTCAGAGAAATGTAGTTTGCCATGTCTCCTTATGCTAAAGTTTTATGTTAGCTGTATTTATCTTATACTGTAGTTTAATGTTTTGAGGTAATTTCAGTGTTTTTTCTGTGTTTGTGGTTATATCGATTTTTGCATTCATGGCAGCAGAAAAATAGTATACCAGTTAGGTTTGTTGAATTGGAAGAATGAGTTGGAGGGTGAGCCAAGGTTTATGTTTAAGTGAATAGGGTTAAATATGGGTGAAAAGGAAATGGCACAAAAATAAGAACTCTATTAAGTAATAGTCTATTGACTGTTTAACTTAACACTCATGATAGAATAATGATCTTTATCTGAGGGAATATGTTTAGAGTACAAAGGATAGAAAACTGACAATTGGGTTTCAAAGCAATTTCAATTTATGTGATGGCTGCTTCATTTCTCTTAACATCTTTGAAACAATTTATGAATATTTAGAGATTTGCAACTTGTTTTAAATGCAAACCTTCAAAACAAGTTAGTTCAACTTTACTGGAAGTGTTACAGCACTGTTTTAATTTTAGCAAAAGTATACCAACCTCAAAATAACCCAAGGTTATTTGTTTGTTTGTTTATTGTTGTTTGCTTGCTTGCTTTTACCTTAAAATGGGAAAAGAACAGTTCAAGGAGGGAACACTTCCAGTCAGGCTGGCAGAGTACCAGAACACTTCTAGTCAGGTCAGAACAGCTGTCTTGAGCTGAAGTTTGAAATTTACACACCTCTAATACATCTATAGCTAGACATTATGGCAAGATTAGAGCATATATATTTGACATTTTCCAATATGCACGTCCCTGAGAAGATCAGATAGTCTGTTTACAAACAATAAAATTGAATTATTGCAAAAAATAAATGTACAACTGCAAGTAATCATAAGTATTCTCTGAGATTAATTAAATGCTAAAACAAAAAACAAAAAAACCCTACTTCCCCACCTTAGTGCCTTCCACATGGGTTGGACTTATGCACCCAGAAATCCCAGTCTGTATGATCAATATGTATGCTGGTTATGAATTCTCAAAGTTACAGTTCAAACCATCTGGATGATACTACCAGTTAGAAAGTCTGTTGCATATTAAGAGGGAAATTTAGAGCAGAGATTATGCAGAGTTACTTGGCACTTTCCCTTTCTGCTTTTTCACTGTTCCAGTTTTCCCTTTACAGTGTTCTAAATATGAATTTATTCTGCTGTCTTTAACCAGCCTTGAAAATATCCTGCTTCTTAAGAAGCCACAAAAAGATCTACAGTAGTCCTGTTGTGGAATAAGGAAATGAAGATAATGTAAACGGATTAGAAAACACCCTTGGCGTTTTAAAAAAAATGAGCAGTTATTTAACATTCAAAACTCATCAACTGCATTAAAGAAGTAAACTCTTCCTTAAAATTGGCCTATTGGTATTAACCTCAAAAGAAACATTTAGAGGTGCATATGCCAGAAGCCTTTTAAATTATTGCTCCTGTGCCAAGGCTTCTCACCAACCAGCCATTTCCTAATTCCTTCGGCAGCAATTAGGGATAATTCAAGCTACATTATGATATCATTTTAATTTTTTCCCCTCATAACATTGTTTTTAATTAATTAAGATGGAAAGAGAGACACATAATATGTGATTTAACAGAGAAAAAAATGAATCATTATACATTTGACATACATCTAGCCTGATCCTAAACAAGCATGCAGTATATGAAGATTTGGGGAAATTTACTTAGAGATTTAAACCTTTCATTCAAATCCTGAGCACATTAATCCACAAATTGACCAAACTGATTCTACTGATGTCCATGGGAGTACTTTAAATATGGTTTGAGTTCAGTAATGTCTGCAGGCTGCATCAAAAATGTCAAGATGATGGTCACATCTGTGCAAAGCCCCATCCTTTCTTTACGTGCATCACAGCATACATAAAAAGGGGTAGGCTTTAGATGCCATGGTCACAGCCACCATCTTGACTTTTTCACCATCCCCAGTCATCCCACTTGAGTTTGTCATCTTTAAAGCCATGCTATACAGTGATACCTCTACTTACGAACGCCCCTACTTACGAAATTTTCGAGATACGATCAGCTCCGACCCCAAAAATGTACCTCTACTTACGAACGCCCCTACTTACGAAATTTTCGAGATACGATCAGCTCCGACCCCAAAAATGTACCTCTACTTACGAACGCCCCTACTTACGAAATTTTCGAGATACGATCAGCTCCGACCCCAAAAATGTACCTCTACTTACGAACGCCCCTACTTACGAAATTTTCGAGATACGATCAGCTCCGACCCCAAAAATGTACCTCTACTTACGAATTCGCCTCGACTTACGAGCCATTTTCTGCCCGTTCCACGTGGTCCGTGGCCATTTTCCGCCCATTCCACGTGGTCCGCGGCCATTTTCCACCCGTTCCACGTGGTCCGCGGCCATTTTTTCCACCCTGCCACATGGTCAGTGGCCGTTTTTCCGCCCCTGA